GGCTCCTTAACTGCTTAAAGTACAATGCATTTTATTCGCTTAACATGTGAACATTTCATCTTTCTCTAATATAAGGCACTGCTTCAATTCCATATTCCATAATTGTATGCATGCTGAGCTTCTCCACTCCACTCCACTCCTCTCCACTCGACTCGAATCGTCGATCAAACAAAACAACTAAATAGTATTCGAATTATATACACGCTAAATTGGAAACTGATTTTTGTGATTCTGTTCGGTAAAATTTGACTAGCATTTGGCTTCGCTCGCATTTAGCAGGGATCATAGAGAAAGACACTGGGAGACCATGGCTTGGGCGAGCCAGCCGCCAGTTCCGGTGTGGTGATTCACCACCTGGCTGCAGTTACAACTGTCTCCTGCAAAGTCCATGCCCTGGGGATGTGCGCGGAGCACAATTTGATGAGTCTTGGTAACATCGACATTGGCCACTACCCCGACCCCGCCGCCTCGTGGCGAAAGCTGTAGAAACGATTGGTCAGATGTCCATCTACGTAAATCTATAGGGGGGGGGAGGAGAATTGAAGTTTCGAACGCTGTGATTTGTATTCCATTCCAGCCTCACCTCATAGCCGGCAATGCCGCAACAGTCGTGAACCTGCCAACGCACATAAAGAGCTGCACAGCCAAGGCTGCTGACATCGGTAATGGTAACCGGATAACTCTCCGGGTACGGCTCACAGTGCGTGATCCTTTTGGATTCTACAAAGCAGCCCACAAATTAGTTAAGTTAGGGTATACGAAATGAAAAAAAAATGGTCTCCTACCTTTGGTTTAATTCTTTTTGACGCAGCACATGATCCATTGAGTCCAGAATCAATAATAATCGAGTCAATAAAATATTTCTAAGAACAAATAAAATTGCATACTTGTTTTACTAAATAATCGAAGTAACTCACCATTTCGGATGTAGGATCGCACAGCACCGCATCCAGAGTTTTAGATACGGTTTTGCATTCATTATCGCAGATGAGCGCACGGCAATGACAACAGACACAAGGCTTCGGCGGTTCTTTGTCCGCAGCCGCTCTCTTTTTTCCACAGATGCTCTCTTCCATGGCCCCAGTCTCGGGACAGGCGTATCTGATGTCTGATTCCATCCTCCACCGCATCCACCGCAATCGTCTTCTGTGGCTGCTTGTCCTCCCCAATTCACTGAATCGTACTCGCATTCGCCGCAGAAAGCGTCTTCCCCTGGTAGCCTTTTGGTGCCAAACTCCATAAGTTGTTGTAGCATTGCTCGCAGTCCCCACACTCTACGCTCTGGGGCAGTTCCGTAGATCCATCACATTCGCAGTCACCATGCATTTGTGCACACTCTTCCTCCTTGCGGGCTCGTCATCACATTCTCCGTGCGTCACAAGTGGTTCGCTATCCCTTTTCTCTTCTTCACATTCGCCGTACATTAACATTTCTTCGCAATTGTTTTTGCCTGTTCGCGACTCTGTCGGAAAAATTGGGAACAATCTTTGGATCAGGGGGTTCATCATCACATTCGCCGTGAAATACGTCACTGCCCTTCTTTTCTTCTTCACAATCCCCGTGCATGACCAAATTATCGCAATCTATAGTTCCGCCTCGCATTTACTACGCTTGAAATATTCTCCAGAGGATCTACATCACATTCGCCCTCTATTTGTGCGGACATCTTTTGATCCATATTTGCTCCATACTTGCTCCATGCTTTGCTGCATACTTTGCTGCATACTTTGTGCTGGCTTTGCTGCAGTCTTTCTTCCTCACAGCAACCGAAATACATACCAGAACCCGTCGGGGGCTCACTACGCTCTGTTGCACTGCATTCACCTGCAAAGAATGCTGACGACTCCCCTTCTCCTGCCTTACACTCTTCGCCAAAATCCTCGCCTAAGCTTTTTGTGTCGGGTGGCTCATAGTCTGGATCGAACTCTACGTTGTATATTTCATGCTCTGGTATAATCTTCTCAGCTGGTGGCCCAAAGCATTTTGCACGTAGTCTCTCAATTGCTCGTAGCACTGCTCCTTTTTCCGCTGTTTTCTGCTCTTCGGCATCTGGGACTTATCTGGTCTAGGCCCACCAGCTTCGACGCACTCATCGAAAGTCATAGGCGGCGTCTCTGGTTCTGCCCGGGCAATAGTGCATCCTCATCTTCAAGGTGTAGCAGCATCGTCAGTTCCACGAAGAGTCGCTTTATTATAGCGGAACGCTCTTCCTTGCACATGCAATCGGAGCAATCGATAAGGCCGTTGATCATATCCAGCACACGTTGCCTGCGAGTTGGTGGCGGATATTCGCTCCGAGGCTCCGAGGATATTACAGAGTAGTAGCCTGCATTCATCAGGATTCTTCATCGTCGTCATCGTCTTCCCCCCACATGTACATGAAGGACCAGATTTGTCGAACATACAGGACGCTCCACAAGACACACAAATGCTGATTGAGCAGCATTAAACGTTGAGATCTGCCCACAGCTACACGGTCGCTGATAGTTGACGGAATCGTCATCATCTCCGCCACAAGAAATGCCACAGGGACATACAAATGCCATGTGAGAATTATTAAATGTAGAGGTCCGGCCACAAAGGCACTGACGCTGGTTGTTATTGGCCATACGATTGTCTTGACACGGACCGCCAGGTCTCCCTGCTTGCTGCGCGTCGATATTTTGGATGATTTCGACCAGTTAGAAGGCCCTCTGTGCCACAAGGTATGGGTGTTGTCAGATCTTCACAGCACGAATCGCCGGCATCGCCTTTATCGTGCTTACTGCGCGCCGATGTTCTTGATTGGCATGGACTCTTCGTTGGCTGTCCACAAGGCATATCCACACGCTTTTCGTCGTGTTTACTGCGTGCCGATGTTTTGATTGTACACAGGGCATCTCCACAGCGCTTTTCGTCGACACACGCACAACTTCCAGCATCGCCTTCGTCCCTTCTGCTGCGCATGGAACGCACGGATATATCATATTTGGATGTTTTCTGGAAGCACGGACTCTTCTGCAGCTGTCCTCCACAAGGCATTTCCGGAGACTCTTCGGCATAACACGAACCAGATTCGTTCTTTTTGCTATGCATGGAAAAATCATATTTCGATGTTTTCTCATAGCATTTGGGCTGTTTCGATGATGTAGAAGATACCGCCATACCTTCTGTACAACAGGGCAACGCTATATTGCGGTCATCCGGTTTACTACGCATGGAGATATCATACTTGGAGGTTTTTACATTAGCCGTACACTTTTTTGGGGTCTTCTGAACGTCCTCCCTGCTGTTGCAGCATGAAATCGTGGCATACCATGTATGACTACCCATCCCAGTGTCTGCGAGCACTGCGCGCTTTTATCTTTCTTGCTGTCATCCTTGCCCGCAGAGCAATATCCACTGACCGATCTGGTTGAGCGTCTGCCAACTTTAATCGCTTTGCTGTAAGCCAGAGAAAAGTTGGAGCACGGACCTTCACGTATAGATGTATTGGAGGATGATTCACAATCCAAAAATATGTCGACGTTGTTACCACTCTTAGATGGAACTAGACGGGCAGAGGATGCATGCATTTTTCTAGATACAGTAATACTCTTGAAGCTCTTGTTACTAATGTAGGATGACCGTAAGTCCTTAGATGCAGCGTGCTTCTAAAACTCTTAGAGGGCTTCGTGCTAAGGTAAGATGCGGAGCCATCTTTGGATATAGCGGTGCTCCTGAAGCTTTTGGAAGGCTTAAAACTAATACATGACGCCTTCAAGTCTTTAGAAGCAACAATAGTCTTTAAACTTTTTGAGGGCTTTGAACAAATGCAGGATTCATTAGCGTCTCTGGATACGGCGGTGCTCTTAAAGCTCTTCGAAGGTTTGGTGCACATACAAGGCACTGCGGTCTTACGCTTTGATTTGTCGCTCCCCGAGCTGCATTTACTGATCTTACAAACTGAACAAGAGCACGAGCTAATGCTACGTTGCTCCCCTCCGGGCCCTCTTGGCTTGCTCTCTACATCTGCATGCGAAGATGGATCGGCTTCCATTTCTTCACACCCGCCCGACGCCGTATCTTTATAGTTGGTACGATCACTTTGATGTTTGGGGAGACGCACGCTCTTTCCCGAGCTTTGCGCTGTACACAGGCAGGTTACTTTGTTGAGCATTGAGCGAGAACCCGCCGAGGCAGATGCGTCCTCACCCGTGCCATATCTTCTGACCTTAGCTTTTTTGGACAGCAGGGTTTGCTCACCTCGGAACGAAGACTTGGCATGGGTGTTTTGGCATCGTGAATTGTTCCATATGTTCCGCGGACGCTGTATTTTGCATTCGGCAAAGCCGACAAGTGGACATTGCCGAAAGATCCTGGCCACAATCACTTGGCGCCACGAGTGGTGCCATTTCGCATACTGTCGTTGAGATGGCTAGACCACATATGCCAGATGGCTTTGATGGTTGCTTTCCGCAGCTGGCAGATGTTTTTGATGGTGGCTGGCCACATACAGTGGCATCTGAACGGGCCGGCGCATATACGTCAGACTGCATTGGATTATAATAATGTGCTCGTGGGCTTGGACGATTTCAGAGTGCATTTCGATGGCACCGAGCTGCACATTGGCATCGCGTTAATGGCATGTTAGACTGCTTAGAAGATTTCTGGTCGCATACGGAAGTTGGCTTGGAAGATTTCAGAGTGCATTTGGATGGCTCCGAACCGCATATATTTTTTTCAGATGGAACCACATTGCAGCTATGTATCAGCTCCGATGTATTTGGCAGACATGACGATAAAGGCAGACTGGACTGTGATTTCGATTTAGACGGCGCAACATCAATATTGGTCTCCTTACAAATGCTGGGCTGTGACTTGGATTTGGAAACTTCGGCCTCCCTTGGCACATACACATGGGGACTGATGTTCTGATGATGGATCATCATTTTTCTTGCAACTACGAAACTGCGTGGGATAGCGAATGTTGCCCATTTGGCAGATCCGGTTTGATAGTAGTCTGCGAGTCTTATCGTCACTGCTCCTCTGATTTGAGCGGAGGCGCATATAACGTTCGTATATAAAAGAAGTCTCAGTCTGTGATGGTTTGTTGTTCACTGCCAGCTCCGAGGAGCAAATACCGCCTCGTTCTACATCTTGATCCCAGGGCTTAACGGGATCATCGGCAATGCGCACGGTGTTTTTGTTTTGCTTCAATGTATCCCTTACATATGATTGGTCGGTCTGTATGTCCTGGGTGCGGGAACTGAAGTCGAAAGGTGGGGGTAGTCGCTCATCCTGCATATATATCAAAGCTGGCCATTCTGCAAAGGAAGAACAAAGAAAGAAGCCATTAGAATTAGTTGGGAATGCGGAACACTTTATTCATTTTCTTGACAGAGCCGTGTGGACGAGGCAATGGTGGGCGAGGAAGGAATGGAAAAAAATAAACGACTATTTATGAAGCGGTGGTATTAGATCCTTGATCTCACTAAGCTTTATCTCACGACCGCGCGTAATATCTGGAGACGAAAACATCTCACGATGATAAAGCTCCAGAAACTTAGCCTCGGCTCTTTCGCGACACGGGCAGAAGTCAAAATATGAGGTTTGACTGCAATGCGCTGTATCTCTGAACCCGGAGAAGAGAGTGCCGCGCCTAGCGCACTTGCACACCTTCACATTGACGTGATCGCGATTAAGGTCGAACGAACGCGGCTTCCAGGGCACTGGCAGCACCCACAGTTGCCGGGACAAAATACATTGCCCTCTTCATCCATAATGGGACTAGGGTCGTATCGACAGGGGCTACATGTTTGGAATTCCTTGTGCTGCGGCAGTGCCAGGAAGTACGATGTTCCGGCGGCTTTTGTTCCTCAATTGGGGGCGGAGGGGCAGGTACGACACGAATAGACTGGACACTGGCAACAGTTGAAAGCTCTTTTTCTTTTGGTGGTGGTGGCACTACAATGACCTCAGAAGACACAGGCTCAGGCTCTGGCTCTGGCGGGGGCACAATTACTGTAACTGGCTTAGGCGCTGCTACATATTCTTTCCTCGGTTCCGGCTGTGGTCTCGGTGGGGGCATTGTCTTAAGCGGCATTATGAGAGGCACAGGTGGTACCACCTGTATTGAAATCACATCCCGCGGACCTCTTTCGTATTTATTCGGACAGGGCAAGACGCAGGTCTGTGTTTGGCACACACACTTCCTGTCCCCAGCTCTTTCTAATAACTTGTGCCTACCTGAATGACACTGGCACGGGTGCGGATGCGGCAGCCTTGCTAGTGGCTGAGGCGATGGTTGTGGCTGCGGCTGCGGAGCTGCCCTGCGGCTGCGGCTGCGTGGCATATCTGGCGAGGTCGTTGCGCTTGCATGGGACACACGTTCACTTCCCCATTATCGGGATTAAATTCCAGTGGCATTTTCACAGTCACCGGCTTGCCTTTCAGTCGACACTGCTGCTCCTGTGGCCCCGTGTCGGTGAGCAAGCGCGCAGTTATCTCCAACGTGGCGCCACAAGGCTTTGGCCAGCCTCCTGTTTTAATCAAATTCTTTAGCAACAGCTGTGTGGCATTAGCAGCACGTTCTAAAGCGGCGCGTATCGCTTGCGGATCATCAAACTTAATAGAGGAACAGGCACCCTCCTGTGGAAATCGTCGCTTACAATCACAAAATATTTCCTGGTCGCTGGATGTGGACGCGAAGTTCGGCATCATAAGATTACATTTGTCGAATTTTTGTCGTCAACCGCATGCTGCTTTTCCTGCAGCACATCCTGCCGAACTAAGGATCTGATGCGACTGCAACTGGTTGCATTTTTACATTTTCGTGATGTCTTATCCTGACTTGGATTTTTTTTTATCCTCGTCCATGGCAGAAATTGTTCGAAAAATTTCCCAACTAAATGCAAATTAACATTAAATTTAGACTAGCACAGATTCCGATGTTGCCTGGTGTGTAATTTGAAACTAACTAAAATATTGGCATTTGATTTCTAAGTAAATAGGCAGCGGACTACTTTGTTACAAAAACTTGTTTGCGGACTGTAAAACAGTCATTATTTGTTTAATACTAGGTGCCAAGTAAACATACAAGTAGAGTTTGTGTGTAAGAATAGATTAACACTCGTAAGTAAAACGAATTTTCTGCTGGGTTCTGCTGAAAGCTTCGGGAAAACTGAATGCATTGCCCTCAAAAGATTCAGTTCGCCCGTGCTCGGATCAAATTTGATTGGTACTTTTAAGGTGACGGGGCTGCCGAACTGTTTGACAGTACAATCTCGAGGTCCTTCCGGACATAGCAGGCGCGCAGTAATCTCCAGTGTCGCCGTATGGCTTCCCGAACTGTAACCCTGACCTGTGTAGAATTGTAGCAGCTTCTCTGCGGTGTTCGCGGCACATTGCAAAACAGAGCGTACTCGTATATTCTCGGAGTTGTCACATGCGTCTTTGCATTTCTTCCTAGGCTTCTCGCATCCGCCTATTTTCTCGGGCTTCTCGTCCGCTCTATTTACAACGGGCACCCCGGACTCGCAGTCGTGATCGCTGTGGCAATCATAGAAATTGTCGATATTACAGGATGGAAGCCATGCCTTTGGCTTTGTTTTCTGAACGCGCTTCGAGTGCAGTTTAACTTGAAGTTTTTCCATATTGCTGTAATTTTGTGAATTTTTTTGTTCAAATTTTCAAATTAAAATTTTGTTACTATTTTGATGTGATTTTGTGTGACCTGGTTCTATGAAAAAATTGGCACCTACTGAGCAATGTTCACTAGACAATTTGAATTTATATTTGGTATTTCCAGAAAATTCTGTGAACAGATACAAAATGGCAGCTATACAGTTATCTAGACATACACATATCAACAGATCAGAGCAGCATGCATGTCCAGTCACAGCTATTGGGCATTCGAATCGGTTAACTGTATATTATTTCGCCTCTCGACCGGATAGTAAATGGTGCATAGAACTCAGACTCCACCTTATGATTGTGGTATCTTAAGCCGCCCATTGATTTTCTCCTCGATCTCATTGAGCAGCTGTGAAACGAAGGGCTTCATCGCAAACTTAAGTGCACGAACACAACCCAAGACTGCCACGACTTGTCATAGCTCTCTCAGTTGTTCAGCATTGTGGGGTCGTGGACAGTCCATACATAGGTCCTGAAGTAATTCAATGTGCTCGCGAAACTCTTCACTCGTCTCCCACAGGTGGAGTAGGCGCGCCCGAAAATCGGTGCTGTCGAAATCCTCCTGCTGCACGCAACGTTGCAACAACTCCACGAAGCGCCCGAGTGCGCAAAGGCATCAGCATCAGGCGATGCTCCACGCTGGCCTCCTCAGACTGCATGGCCAAATCAACTAGGTCGGACTTAGCCAACACCTCCTGATCACAGCAGTCGGGTGTCACTTGCACCATCTTGCTTTCTGTTTCCAGTTCGGTTTGTACGAAGGCATGCGCTTCCAAACGTTCCACCGGCCACTCAATGAACTCGGCGTGCAGCGAGTTCATCGACAACGCCGACGACACCGAGCGCACCGAGTGCATGGAAGTTAGCGAATGGAAGCTGCAGTAGGATAAACTTTTCCTCAAAGGTCCAGTTCCGGTCGCATCGAAGAAATATTCCTTTCCCATGGTGCCGCTACTTCGACGTAGTACGCGGCCGCGGCAGACACGACGATTATTGAACTGCTTACAGGTGCGACGCTTGCGTCGTACTCCATCTACATTGCCGGTTTCACTAATATCTTCGGAGTTCTTTTCCAGCTCCGTACCACTGCTGTCGATCAGCTGACGCATTTCCGTTGGCACCTCACAGAGTTCCTTCTTACCATCGTACGTGGACAGCACTATATCGGCGGAATTAAAGCCATGCCCACAGTGTAGGTGACACCACCACCACCACCGCTGGACCGACGCGACTTGCGACGACTCTTTTGACTAAGCGTGGAACCGCGTTTGGAAACGCTCACCGGAGAACTAGAGCCGGATGGTGTTTTCGGCTTTTCAACAGGCTGATCTACTGGCTCCTCCTCAACTGTTGCTTCCCCAGCACCCTGCTCAGCTGCCTCATCAACTGCCTGATCAACTGCCTGATCAACTGCCTCAGTAACTGCCTCATCAGCTACCTGCTCGGTAGCTGATTGTGACTTGTTAAGCTCTGCACCGAAGCAAATGGCTGCGAATCGGCTTGGCTCGTTTTTTCTGCCTCTTCGGCCTTGTTAGTCGCCTCATCCAACGAGCGGAGCTTTCGGCACATGCGGAATCTTCCGCTTGCTCAGCCATACATTGGCAACCACTCACCTCTTTCTCTTCTTCGGGTGGATTTTGTGCGTAGAGTATGGTGTCTGCCAATTGCTTCACGCCGCAAGCAATGGCCTGGAAGTCTCGATGTGTGGGTAGTTCGCGTTCGCGCCGCTAGAAAAGAGCAAGATAAGTAGGGAACGGGTAATGATAGTATTCTAGTCCGAGTGATAAATATATGGTGGATATTTCGACTCTTCACCCCGACGAATAAATTCGCTCACTATTCGTTGTGCTACTCACCTCTAAGTCGCGTAACGCACAACCCAATCCCTGGCTAGCAGACTGTAAGTCCTGTATTTCTTCACGTCTGGCACGCTTGGCTGGACTATCGAATAATTCGTCGGCGAGGCTAAAGCCCTCTGGACAAGTGCCCATCTTACGCTCCAATTCCTGAATATATTCCTCTTTGGTGCGCAGCTCATCCTCTAGACAATGTTCGCGGTCCTCTGCTGCCTTCAGCTGGCACAGCATTTCACATATTTTGCACTCTAGCGTGCCAACCTCCTCCTTTAGTTCACCATTGGTTACCTCGATATGTAGGAATTCCTTCTTCATGTCGAAGATCTGCTGACGCAGTGTATCTGTCTCTTGCTTCAGTTGCTCTTCGGTGTTCTGTTGCAGTTTCTTGGAGAAGGACAAGTCATCAATGAGTGCTTGACTGCGTCGCTTCTCGTTCTCCAACGCCTCCGCTAGTGGTCTTTGCTCCTCCGCCTCCTGTTCCTGTTGCGCTTTGTTGCACTCGATTTGTGCTTGAAGCCCCTTGTGCTCTTCGAGTAAGTCCCGGTGCTCTTTTGTTAGACGCACGAGGCAAGTTTTAAGGCCTTGTTCGGTCTCCTCCAGCTGTTGTATTTTCTCGGCAGCTGCGCGTGAATCTTCACGTAGACATCCTGCAGACGGGCTATTTTCTGCTTCAGGCAAGCCTCTTTGGCGCGATAGGCCTCCTCTCGCTGTTTGTATTCGCGCTCCAGATCCACCCAGTGTGAATCGGCCGTCTCCATGGCCTCGTAGTGGCGCGTGTTAAGATCCTTCATCTGGCAACGTAGACTCTTAACCTCCTCCTTCAGGTAGGAAACTTCACGAGTAATGCTGTTGTCAGTGCCGCCACTTGGTCGAATATTGGTGGCGTCCCGACTAGGACTCGGGCTCTTTCTGGTCGGTTCGGTAGAGCCAGCCGGAGTGCGTGGCTCCTCCATAGATACTTCATTACCCATTCTGGCCAATGCCCATAAACGACATAACAAGAACAATGGCAAGGATCTGCGCAAGTTTACCAAATGCTGTTTAGCTCGTTGTCTGTCTGCCTCTAGATTACGAACTTGTGTCTCAAAAGTGCCCAAATCCTCGCGCAGAATGATACACTCGGCCCGACAGTCTTTGTATTTGGCGCCCAGCGCCTCCTTGGAGAATTCTAGCTCAACGTTGCGTTGCCGCAGAATTTCCAATTCCACTTCTGTGCGTTGCAGCCGCAAGCGCGAATCGTTATCGGCCTCCTCGAACTCGCACTTCTCCTCCTCAAGCAGTGAGTTCTCATGCAGCAGACACTCCACACGATCCGTGAGCTCCTTCAGCTCCTTCTCAAGCTGCACTTCGCGCTGCAGACGATCGGCCAAGTGCTTGGCCTGTATGTCTCCACTGCTCTCGTAGATCAGCACCTTCCGCTCCAGCAGTTCCAAACGCTCCTTGTAGTACTGCAGGCGTTTGAAATCGTTGGCCTCCAAGCTTTGCTGTTGGACTTCAGTTTGTGTGCCTGTGCTTCGATCCAAGCTCGACAAAGGCTCGCCTGCAAAGTCACACTCCACGAAAACTCCGCTCTCGCTGAGACTGTTGCTCTGCCAGGCCTGTCGCAGCTTCCTGGGCGAGTCCTGCGGCGTACCACAGCCCGATGCGCTGTTGTTGTATGGCTGTACGGTGGCAACAATTCGATTGTTAACCGTTCCGTAATTCGGCTTGGCTGGACTGTTGTTGCTGCTGCTGCTGTTGCTATTGTTGTTGTTGGCTGTCGTTATCAAACGTTGCTCCGATTTGGCCTGAAAGAAAAATGGCAACAAGTATTAGGTTACTCGTCAAAATTTCGGAAAATGTAATTATTTAAAATTTTCTGGAAAGTCCCAATAACTACACCAATAACTAAAAACAATATAATAAAAGTTTGTTTCTTTTTTTGTGTTTTGTTGTTTGTAAGTAGTTCGCTTTTTGACAATTAGGTGCTGGGTAACGATACGCACCGATTCTAGATCTGTAATGAAATCCATATCGAAATGTAATTGTTGCACACACTGAAGCAGCTGCTGCAGACCACGTTTGTCCTTTTCGTCCAGGATGGAGTCCTGTAGCAGGGTTTGCAGCCGTTGGCATTGGCCCTCGCAACTATCGTCCGTCTACAAAAGAATGAATATCAAATATAGTAAATATTATAATTACTCTTGTCTAGTGCTTTCAACGCCATTTATCGCATTATAATCTAGCATTCAAACCAGTTTTGTGGTGGGAAGCCAATTCATTAAAATTATTTTACAAATCTGATGAAGTACGAGTATTATACATAGATGGCCGCAATTTGCCAGACTATTAAACATTATTTTTAATTGCAATTAATCTCTCGAAAGTTGGCGCAAAGCTTCTTAATTGTCTTTTATTTGTATAACGAGCTGTGATTTATGCTCCCCATTCAACCTTTTTGGCATACTATTTAAGAAAAATGGCATAAAAGACTGGAATTCATTTTAGTTAAGTTTGTTATTTCGAAAATTCTGTACATTTCAAAACCTTTTTGGCTTTGTTGAGCCCCTCTATGTTCTCCAAATTCAAAATCGGATACAAAAAATTATAAAAAACTAGCGGATGAGGTCATATAGCTTTTTCCAACGCAAATGAACTATATAATATTGTAAGAGCTAAGTTGCCAAAGAATTATATTAAAAAATTAAAACATTTATATTAAAAGAAGGTCTAAAATCTAAAGCACGCCAAATGGTTGATTGTAGATCAGTAAATCAGAACATATACTAATATGTATAGACCATTGAGCGGTTGATCTGTTTGTGTTTATAGGCATTATTTAAACCGACATTAGCATGCAATTAATGCTTGGTTGCCTCAGATTTTCCATCCACAACTTATTTTCACTTTGCAAGCGTATGTTTAAGAGGCATGTGTAATTATTTTCCGTTTTCTTGCAATTAACCAAGGCGTATTGAATTATTTTCAAGCTGAACGACTTTACAGCTTGTGGCGTTCGGCTCTAAATATTATACGTACCACAAATCCGACAACAAATAACACCAATACAAGCAAAGGAAGTAAACGGTACGTATGAGTAACTTTTGGCATGCACCGATCATACAGATAGATAGCTATACTATACTACATATACACAAGTGTTCAAACACCTTTGATGTGTGTGCGCCTTATATAGGGTGCTTGCCCTCAAATGGCGCAAATATTTGAAGATCACTCCAAACAATGTAAAACGAAATATATTTGGCCAAGACAAATTGCCATTTAGGTGAACGCCTCCGAGCGTGGGATTAACACTCTTTGAACCATAAGCGGAATATTAAGTCACTAGCTTGTAAGTGTCGCTGTCCGTCCGTCCGTCCATCCATCCATCCGTCCATTAAGTTAAATGGCCAGAGGTAGGAAGTCTACACAGAAATATGAATAATTCAATGCAATTGAAAGTATGCGACTGCGCTAATTATTATTGCACAGTTACAGTATAAATATGTATGTTAATAACAATAACAACTCTTCATATTATTATTATCCATCTTAACCATGTTCAATTGTTTGTTTATTTCTTTGCTCTACTAAAACAATTTCCAGGCACGGGCACAGGCGCAAAAATTGCCGTCTTTCACACAATTTCCGCGAACGTTTTCTATCGCACTGAGCCATTGTTTATCGTTCGTTAAATAACGAGCCCGAAGCTAGATCTTGACACGAGAGACAACTCACACTTACACTCACAGACATGCACACACACATACTGGTCCGCCGCCTATTCATATGTGACTCAATTCATTCATAAACGCGAGCACAAGCCAGTCAGTGGCCGCTCACTTGAGCGCTTTTGTTTCTTGGCTGTGAGTGCAAACTGTTTGAGTGCGTTCCGGCCGCCCACCCACTCACCTTATCATCCTCCAGTTCGAGTATTCGAAACTCAAGCAGTTCGTTTTGTTCACGCAACTCATTCGTTTCCGCCGTTAGCTTCAATTCGTGCTCCTCCAGTTTCTTGATCCGCTCAAGCAGTTCATTAATATACGCATTATTGTTGGCCTCTAGGGCCGCCTTCTCGGCCGTTACCAGCTCCTGTTTCATCAATTGCAGTTCCGTTTGTAAGCGCTCATTTTCCTTGTGATACATTTCCACCTCCTTCTGCAACTTCTCCAGATCTTTGCTGTACGTGTGCATCTAAAAGCAAAGCGATATTTAGTACAGCTACTAAGTTTAATTCGTTTTTTTTTTTGGCTATTTCCTACCGTCTGCCACATTACACGCTATCCGAGCCAGTTGAGGGCGGTTGCGGGCTTATCGATGGTGGCGCCGATGACAAAGCAGAATCCGTATCTGAATTATTGTCCTGCAAGATAGAGTATTGGAAATGGAAGAATGATTTACATTTTTCAACATTTTCTCCATAAAATTATTGTAATTTAGAAAAGGAATAAGATAAGGATAAGGTTCAATCGTTAGCAACGTACTGGAAATATCTAATGTTGTTACTTGATTCTATCTATAAAAACTATTCATGGGCTGTCTATTAAAAACTTGCAGGAATTATCTTTAAAGAAAAAACACAATCATTCAATTCACGTTTCAGAGAGAAAAAGAGAGGAATTAGAATTGAAATAACATTTTTTAATCATTTCCTCTACACATACTCCACACATACTTTTTAAATTGAAAACATTTTTTGGGGTCAGGATCGATCATCAATCATCGACGTGTCTGAAATAATTAATTTTGCTCCTTAATTCCATTTAAAACAATTCCAATTCATGCTTCTAGAAATTTGCTAGCTGCATTTTGATTTCCCAAAAGGTCCGTCAATAAAAACCTCGCAGGAGCATGTAACCTTAAAAGTTTCTACACAACTAATTGACACCAACAAGCACTTAAAACGCCAAATCACGTTTGGGACGCGCAATAAAAAGGCAATGAAACATATCCTAAAATGTACAATGAATGAAAAAAAGAAACAAGTAGAATTAGATAAAAATCAAGACTATGTTATGAATATTAAACAGTCGACTGAATTCTTCGGCTAACACGTCTACACAAGCTCCATTGTTTGGGAAAATCGCACGCTATAATTAAATCGCCCAGTCGGTGTTTATTTTGTGAAATCAGAGATCAACTAATTTTGCGATTTAATGCAATTGTTGGTATAAGGGCGTAAGTTTTAGAGAAAAAGTACTGACAAGATGAGTAAAGTTGTAAATAACTTTCTTTAAATTACTTTATAAACTAAAAAGATAATGCAGTTTTGTTATGATTATCGTACAAGTAATGCGAATGCTAGGCTTTTAAGTATACTTTTCATTGAAGACACAGCAACTAAACTTTTAAATGAACACTGAAACATTTTCCGAAGCATATAAACGCATTTAATTGTAACTTTGTCAACTTCGTCTGCTGAAGGAATAGTTTAGACGAGTTTCCCAAACTGGCGATTTCGATCCTCGACAACAGCCTGCATTCCATATCTAAGTTTCTAGTCTGACAGTTGTGCATAAAATTTTGAAAACTGTTTTAAATAGTATGCTGTATCAAAAAAAAAAAAAAAAAAAAAAAACATTAATATTGTTGGCCGAAACATATTTTTCTGCTTCAAAATTCTATTTTTGCTTAACTAGTTGAAAGATATAGTACAATTCGTGTTATTTGGTCAGCCAAATTATTTGTTCTGTCTGACCATAGCTGCAATACATTTTTGACTTTTATTTGAATATGTTACAAATCAAAATGTATAACCTACTTGTACAATAAATAAACCTTTTAACGCATATCTATACTTCTTTTAAAAGAAATCGTTATGAAAAAGAAGTTTTTTTAGCCCGGTAGCCAAGAACCAACTCGCATCGTGACGAGAATATTAAATAGATGCGATGACTAATGGGCCGACTTCGTTCTCCAAACACACTGAAGTGCAGTGAGTAACTTTCTGAATAACAAATGCACATAATGTGATTGTAAAGGCAGGTGGTAGCAGAGAGTTCGAGGCAGGAAATACAGTTCCAATAAAATACTAATTAAGGTATGGTCAGACCTGAAAATAATTTGCACACAAACTAAGATTTCTCTACTTCAACATAACTTTTTGTCACAACAAATTATTTCGGATTTACTTTTCAAAGACAACACAAATTTGTGTGCAAGTGTTTTGCATGTGTGACCGCAGCTTTAGATTCGAGGGGTTAACTCACCTTTGGCCTGTACTCCTGCGTGTCCTGTGTTTGTGTCTGTGCCGTGGCTTTGTTGAACAGGGGCGCAGACGACATCCTGCGGCAGTGCTCGGCATTTTGTGGTCGTCATCCATGTGCTGACAGATCCATCAGTGGTTATCAGTTGCTCATGTCTTTTGCTCATTTCCTCCAGTGGTTGGGCGGTTTGGACCCGTTTGTGATTTTGTTGTACGCATTTCAAGAGATTTTTGCACATTTTTCGTATTATTGATTAGCTCAATATTCTTGAGTTGGGTTATCTGCAAGACCAGACATGAGAAAATGTTGAATACACAAACGAAACGTGTTCATTGTCAGAGGGGCCTAACAATTTAGACAATGATTGTCACAAAGGCATTCTTTTGTGGACAGAATCGGACGCCTGCTTTTATCTTTCGCCGTGTGTTCTTCTCGGCTTCTCTCCTCTCTTCTATGAAATGGGCACAGGCCACTACCACTACCATTTGGCCGCAAGCGAAACAAGAAACGTTTCTACAATGTACAATGCTTCGCTTTTCGTCGCTTCGCTACACATAATACTTAAATATATAGCTTATAGAGGTATGGAGGTATGAAGGTATGTGTGTGAGTCTGCGCCAACAATTTAACAGTTATGACTTTATTTCGTGCCCCACAAAATGTATATAGTTTGTGTGGCAAAAGCGCCTAATCACTATGAACAGATAGCCAGATAGTTCATTGACATGCCAAAGGCATTATGAAGCCTGCGAGGCATACACTGGCAGAAAAGTTTAAGCACTTTAAGGGCACTTAATTAAGTCACACACAATTCGGTTGAAAAAATATTGTTAAATTGTTTCCCACATATTTTAAACTTCTTCAATGGCAATTTTCTTTTCATTTTTGCCATCAGTTTTAAAGGTAATTCGTTACCAATTTTTTATAGATTTTTTCAAAATAATTAGACCTGTACCCGCCTCCGATTTAGATGAAATGATTTGACTTTCTATCAAGCTTTAAGACTGAACAACACCATCATTATTATACTTGTAGTTATTGGATTTTGGATTCAAAAATCATTTCGATTTTGATCGGAAAGGAAAACAGACAAATCGCTTAAATTCTACATAAAGCATAATAGAAATATTTTTCTTTATTTCTGTCTTGTGTCCTTTAGGTCGTATCGATTCTGAAGTTTCTTCCAACCATCAAGGGACTTCTTGCCTCTTCAGAGGCCACTACGGCTATGACGGACTGACTTCTTTACCTTTCCCTAGCCGATCAATTAAAGAGACTTCGCATTATCATCTTCTATGAGATTTAGGAGATAATTTATAATAAAGGGCCGGAAATTATATGATCAGGTTAAAAGATATTCGGCCATACTCTCTGAATCCTATTTGTTATAACCCCGGTCTGGCTAATACTTTTCCCCCCGTCAGTTCTAATAACGCCCCTAACTACATTATGCTGTAAGTCGCGGGCACATAGCTTGTAAGAGAAATAAATTCCCATTAAGAGATGGATTCGCTAGATATTATTGCTATTTAACAATTTGCATTATTTATTAAAAGATATTTCTAATTTTTATAAATACTTAATCGACTTTTTCTGCCACTGCATTAATTGTTTGTAGCTTAGCCTATATAGCATGTAGCTTTTAAAGCAAACTGGCCAACAAAATTGGTTGCACCAATTTATAGAGAAGGGCGCAAGTTTCTTCTGAGTGTGTGTGTGTGTGTGTGCGTAAGTGTGTGTGTGAGTGTGTGTGTGAGTGTGAGAAATTGGTTTTGCGGTGGCGTTAAAATGAGGAAAGTAATCACTGCTGCCCACCAAGCTGTGCAAGTCAATCAATGGCAGTTATGCCTGAACAGCGACTTTCAACTCCATTCGGTCGGCCAGACATAGGTAGAGGTATCATTTATATAACAAACATAATGCCCATGTTATTATGTGTATAATGCAGCATTATGCTAATTTGCAACGCTCGTTCAGTTTTTCATATTTAATTTCAATATGTCTGTACCCGAGTCGGTGTGTGTGTGTGTGTGTGTGTGTGTGTGCGTGCGTGCTGGTCAGTGAAATCATTAATCAATTGTGAAACGAGCAAGGTACACCCAAAAACGCAGTGCAATGACCAATACATACCACCAATACATACTACCAATCGTTTCATATCGTTTCACAAGCCATGAATATCAAAGTAGCGCCCCTGGAGCCCCCATTTGGGCCGCCACAAATGGAGTGGCGGGAATGGCGCTGACGCTGACGCTTATGCCGACCACATACCTTCACGTACACACACACACACACACACACACTGTGAAGCACACACACACACACACACACACTGGCACACACTTCTGACCAAACCCTCAAAGACACGCGCTGCCAAATTATCTTCCTAACAGTTATGGTAATTTCTTGAATCAATTCCAACAAAAGACCACAAGAACCCTGCCTTCTAAACGTTCCCCTCCCCTTTTTCCACTTTTTACGTAACGGTTATGCAAACTTAACGAACTTTAACGTGCCCAGAAAACTGAATACTGAATACTTTTGAGTGGCAGCCGGAGCCGGAGCCGCAGCCACAGCCCGCAGCAGCAGCAGCAACTGGTTGTGATGGGGAAAAGAAGAAGACCTTTTTATGGCTATATCAGCGTCTGTTGCATTGATTGGCAGTGCGTTAAATGAATTGCACGAAGAGACGTCCGTCATGGCTCGTTGGCGGGCACAGTGGCTACAAAACATGCGGCAGATGTGGCAGGCAAACATTTGAAAGTGACTCAAATATTCAACAGAATTTTCCTTAATTGGAGAAGATAGCATTTAAAAATAATAAAATCTTACGATATGTGTCAGCAAAGAAATGGAATTTTATTTAGTTATAGAAATCATCGACATTTTTAATATACTGTTCAACCTCTATTGATAAATTGATCGTTCACGAACTTTTTAATGCTATTAATATTCTCTATTTACTATTCTCAAGATAATGGAGATGCTCCATATAGCCTTGTTGAGATACAATCAGATATAATAATATCTGAAGACAAATAGTAAACAGAATAATGGAGGAAATACGGAATCGAACGTTCCTAGTTAAAGTTCCTAGAAATTTAAAATTGGAGAGACATTTTAAAGCCAAACGTTTCTCAAATCCATTTACTCGAAATACAATCAAAAGCTAAAGAGAAAAGTCATGCTACCTTAAACGAATTTTTAAATGTGTAGTAGATAAGATTAAGATACAGGTACATTAAATACTAGCTGTCCCACCTCAAATAGATATCGAAAGTTGAAATACAACTGACTTGCAACATTCAACAAAAAATGTCCTAATACAAAATAATGTTGATTTATTTTCCGTGTAATTTCCATTTAAGGTTTTATAATTTATAAAAAACATTGTCCCTATTTTTCTACTTGTTTTTTCTGATAATAATTTCAGTGTATTTTAACATACGTTGTTTGTTTATTTATTTTCGCGATTTTTTAAGTGATTAATATTTCATAGTTTTTATAGCAATAATTATCTTCGGATTCATTCTTTTAACTAATTCGCATTCTACAGAGCTGAGCTCTTATATTTGCAATAAAATAAAATCTGTTCATAAAGTTTCCCCGCATAATTCTCATTTCGATTTCTTCGCATAGTTTATTTTTTATATTTGAACTCTTCTTTTAAACGATTCGTAAGTTATGTTTCTTCTACAAAAAAACTGTTTAAACGCTATGCATATTTTATGCTCTTCTAAGCTGCCTTTTCTCCCATTTCTTTTCGTAAATGGGTTCACATTTTATTATTCAATATTTATAAACATCAGTTAAAAATTGCATTTGAATTAGTTTTAGTTATTTTCAATATAATTAACTATAATAATAATTCAATATGCTTAAGCTTTTGTGAAGTACGTTGTGGGCACATTTTTGAAAGAAAAGAAAGGGTAACGGTACGCATGCGTGACGAAACGATGGAAATGGTAACTGCCCCAATTGTGAATGCACATTTAATTTGAATCGTTTGAATCGTTTGAGTCACTGTGCGAGGTGTCTGCAATGTTAACGGCGTCAACGATGCTGGCAGCAAAATTTCAAACATCTTTTTTGACGTGATGTTGTCGCTGCTATTGGTGTAGTTGTTGTTGTTGTCGCTGTTGGCGGCGATTGTGTGTAAATCTGTCGACAACTTGTTTGTGTTTGCATGTTGCATGCACAAACGAACACGCTCTTTAGCTGCCTCTCCCTTCCCCATCACTCCATCACTCCAGCACTCTCTCACGCGCTGACTTGCGCTCTCTTTGTGAAATGGTTTTCCTTTCGGTAACAGACAGGTTTCACTCGATCGATTGCTGGAGCGCTGCGCTGCGCTGCGCTGCACTGCACTGCACTGCACTGCACTGCACCGGCTGCTGTGTTTTTAAGGCAGCGTTCCGGGTTCGAGTCGCGCGCCATCCGTGAAAATATTACGTATACGTATTGTCGTTGGGTGCAGTGCCCATCGAAAAGGCAGCAGCAACAGCAACAACAACAACAACATCACAACCAGAGTCGAATATTTGCATTTGGCATTGTAATACAGGTTTATTTATTTTCACATTGCATCCAAAACCAAAACCCAAACCCAGTCAGCCAGCTAGCCAGCGCTTTGATCTTGCAAAAGCGAAAGTTTCTTTACAATGCTAATGAGTTTTATTGTAAAAATCGAAGCCAGCCGGCACTCAATGGGCCACTGGGTGGGCCCAGCAAAATCCTCAAAGAAAACCCAACCAGCCATGCATAACTAAACAAATATAAATATCGTTTGTCACACTAATGAGGCAACTTGAAGCGCTCACTGTTGGCATTTGGACTTATAATTTATAATAATTCAGTTTAGTTTAAAGCTTAAACAGTTCTTTGGCATCAGTTACCTTCAGTTCGCGGCACTCGTAGAAGTAATCCATTATCAAGGCATCGATGTTGTCGAGATTTCATTTCATAATAATTAACATCAATTTTCAGCCGGAGCAGTTTTCACTCAGCACTTAACATATTTATAGCCGCGTATTGCAAACTCATGCATTTGCATAGTTTTTTGTTGTTGTTGTTGTTGTTGTTCATTTAGTCAATTTAACACACCCCGCTTTTTTTCCTCGTCTTCTATTCATGTATGTATGTTGCTCCAATCACTTTGCATTTTAGAAATGAAGTTTCAGCTTCATCATCAACATGATCATTAGTCTGTCTGGGTGTCTGTCTTTTAACGCTTTTACTGTCGTTTGTCTATGACGAAGATGTCTAAATTTTTGCGGACGCC